AAATATTTTTTTTTTGCAGGAGAAAGATGCAGCTCTTGGAAATAGGGGTCTGGGAAGGCTTGCTTCTTGCTTTCTAGATTCTATGGCAACATTGAATTTGCCTGCATGGGGGTATGGTTTGAGGTACATATATGGGCTGTTCAAGCAGCGGTTTGGCAAAGAGGGCCAAGAAGAAATTGTCGAAGACTGACTTGAGGTTTGATTTTACATGATAGTCCTTTTAAATATTGATTATATTATGGGAGGGTACTAAGCCTAAATTTGGTGGGAATTGTGCAGAAGTTTAGCCATTGGGAAGTTGTCAGACATGACATTGTGTTCCCTGTCAGATTTTTTGGTCAAGTTGAAGTACATCCCTCTGGATCGTAAGTGTGACTTATAGCGTATAACTGGATTGTTGCTCATATGTTTAGGTTCAAGAAAGCGATTATAAGTCTTAGTTTGATTCTGAATTTAAATTTGTAGTTGCATGGTTGCTTGGATTTTCTGCACATTCTCCATGTGATGGTTCTTTCTGAATGCATTACAGGCGGAAATGGGTTGGTGGGGAGGTTGTACAAGCTCTAGCATATGATGTTCCTATTCCAGGATACAAAACCAAGAACACTATTAATCTTCATCTGTGGGGAGCCAAAGCTGGTGCTGAAGACTTCAACCTCTTTAAATTTAATGATGGACAGTATGAATCGACTGCACAGCTCCATTTTAGAGCTCAGCAGGTTGGTTTTTCCTTACTATATAAAGGAGAGTGAGCCTCCCTTTTTGGCCAAAGAACACAATTCATGACATACTACCATGGTCCCTTACATTCTTGTTGTCCAAAATGTCATTCACTTCTTTCAAAACCTCTGTTATCTTTCTACTCTAGGGCAGTGAATAATTGTCCAGGGAAAGTTTGGTTTTGGTCTTCATTCTGAGCTGTAATTGTGAAATACAAAATCATTGAAGGAAAAATCAATATGTCTTGAATTAAAACTGCTACGTTTTTCTTTCTCATAATAAATTCTCAGACTACATACATGTAACTGTAACTGTTGGAAAGTTGCTTCTGTTCTCATCTGTGTTTCAATTGTTTTTGTGTGGTATAGTGATCTGGAAATGTGCCTTTGCAAATTTGTGCTGTTCTTTATCCTGGGGATGCCACAGAAAATGGAAAGCTTTTGCGATTGAAGCAACAATTTTTCCTGTGCAGTGCATCACTTCAGGTTGGCTGCCTTTTCAATTCTGTATTTGTTTAGGTCCCCCATCCTTCTTTAGTACTAAGTTCGTGATTCCTTTTTCTTATTTAATTTTGCTGATATCAATCTCAGTTGCTACTTTTCCATGTTGTTTTCTAATCACGGGATTAATCTCAGGACATGATTGTCAGATTTAAGGAGAGAAAAGATGGAAAGAGCTCGTGGCAGTGGTGTGAATTTCCCAATAAGGTTGTGGTACAGCTGAATGATACCCATCCTACTCTTGCAATTCCAGAGCTAATGCAATTACTAATGGATGATGATGGACTTGGATGGGATGAAGCTTGGGATGTGACAACAAGGTGCAATTATCATTTTCTCTTAATTGTTTTGCTTCATTTACTCTTTCTCAGCACCTATTTTTTCTGTTGCCACTTTTAATGTGTTCATAGTCCAAAATTATGATTGGTGCTAATGAATAACAAAAAGGGAAATTTAAACCGGGACAATTGCTTATACAAATCATACTATCCTTCCTGAGGCACTGGAGAAATGTTCGCAAGATGTTATGTGGAAACTTCTTCCTCACCATATGGAAATTATTGAAGAAATCGACAAGAGGGTTTGTCCATCCTGTCTTATTTTCTCTCTTTATTATGTATATATTGTTTTACAATTTTTGAAAAAAGAAGATGAAATTCTTGCAGTTTATAGCAATGATACGTTCAACAAAACCAGAACTTGAAAGTAAGCTTTCCAGCATGCGCATTATGGATAACAATCCCCAAAAACCAGTTGTGCGGATGGCAAATTTATGCGTGGTGTCTTCACATACGGCATGAGCTCCCTTCTTTGTGGATCAACAAACAGATTATGTTGTGTACACCCATAATCTAAAACTCTTATGAGAATTACCGAGTGATAGTTGTTGAAAAGCTGAAAGCAGAAAATTGTATTAAACAATTAATAAGTTTTCTTGAGAACATCTCCGTACTGAATATTGATTTTTTTTTCTTTTCTTATTGTTAAACTACAATTTTTATGTTGATTTGGGAGCCACAGTAATTTTAATTTCCAACTAGATATAGACCATACTATCAAAAGCTGAAAAATCCTGCTGATTGAATCATGTTGTCCCCTTGACCTACTATTATTGTCACGACCCCAGACCGCCCCTAGTGGTTTGGTGCCGTGATGGCCAGTAATCCGTAATTACCGAAGGCCAACTTGACAAAACTTAACACAATCAGAGTATGGATATAGGGGCTCACAAATGCGGAAGCTATAAATCAAGTACAAGTGGTCCATGAGAGCTGTGCGTAGATCAAAGCAATGCCGAACATGTTCAATTAACTTTACAACTTAAATACAACAAGGTACAAAAAAATACATGTTACATCTTGATCAAAAGGCTTCTCGAGTCGACATATACAAAATACAGCTAATACAAGTCAAGAAGCATGATTTTCAAGATTTGCCGACATGCAAAGCAGGGCATCGCCGACGTAAATACAAAAGTAAAGCCGACATAAGCACGAATCCAAAACAAGCATCCAAAACGATCTAGGCGTCGCCGCCGTCCTGCTCATCACCTACATATATATAGAGGGGTGAGTACAAAACTCAGTGAATGGTACTAATAATAAAGGTTTTGCATGAATATAGCCGACGTCCTTCAAAACGAAACACATCAAACTTTATCAAGATAAGGGATGAACCGTATTCATCATTCAAGTATCATAACATCGGCGAAGCAAGGGATGAACCGTATTCATCATTCAAGTATCATAACATCGCAAGACAAGGGATGAACCGTATTCATCATTAAATATCGTAACATCGGCAAGACAAGGGATGAACCGTATTCATCATTAAATATCGTAACATCGGCAAGACAAGGGATGAACCGTATTCATCATTAAATATCGTAACATCGGCAAGACAAGGGATGAACCGTATTCATCATTAAATATCGTAACATCGGCAAGACAAGGGATGAACCGTATTCATTACCACGAAAGTTTAGAGTCCTCCAGTACAAGGGACTTGTGTTACTTAGGCCCGTAGCCCGATTTAACAAGGACCGTATCCTTTTATACTCAATACTGCAAAAGTTTAGAGTCCTCCAGCACAAGGGACTTGTGTTACTTAGGCCCGTAGCCCGATTTAACAAGGACCGTATCCTTTTCAAGATGGCATCAACAAGGAGTATACTTGACTCGTCAACAAGAGCTATTTATTCATGCTAACAAAATACTTTTATCAAAACAAGCAAGATTTATCAAACAAGTATAACATAGCTTTATCAATAATACCACTCACATAGTTCTTCAGGTGTAGACTCAAAGCAAATATCAAGGACCTACAATCACATGGCAAGTCACATTCTCAAAGCAAGCTCTATATATACAAGCAAATGATCTCGGCAATCTTGCCAGATCCAAGTCAAAGACAAAGCAAAACAAGCTGGGAGCTTAACCATTGCTCCCGTTCATAAAAACACACCGGGTACTGACCAGGACTAAGCCGAGGTCCCGTTAAACAAAGTCAGGAAAAACCTGGGTTTTCCTTTGAAGAATATGAAGAACATGATCATGTGAAAGATGGATGCAAGCTCACAACTTGTTACAAAAATCTGAGTTTTCATGCCAAGAGTTCAAAATATAGGGACCTGGGTACCCATTAAGGAAAGTCATGCAAGAACAAACACAAACATGGTTTTCGTTCCAAACTTTTCGATCAAAACGAGATTTTCTTCAAGAACACATGAAAAACCATTTTCTCTTTCCAAACCAACTTCAAAATGATGCATGATAAGCAAAACAAATCCGATCATGCAATGCAGCTAGATGATCAGCAAGAACAACCAAAGGAGATCAAGATTCTAACCTCAAAACTCGGATCCAACGGTTCAAACCACGAAGATCAAGCTTGGGAGACTTACTCTCACTCAAGAACTCTTCTAGAGCTTCTCTCTCTAAGACAAAGATTTGAGACAAGGAAATGATGTTTTTTCTAGGTCTGCCGGCTGCCTTAATAATCAGCTCGGACACGTGGCATAATCGGGTTGGTTCAGCTCCAAAAAGGTGATTGATAGACAAGACAAGTCTCTGACAAATCGTATGCAGCAAGCTCGGGTAAGGCACATCGGCAAAGAGATGACATCGGCTCAAAATAAGGATCCAGCAACGGGATAACAAAACATCGGCTAGGGAGGACGACACTTGACTAAGCTGTGCCACACCTTGGCCGGGGTGCGCCACATCTCGGCCTAGGCCATACCTGCCTGCGGACAAGGTTCAAGTGCAAAACATCTCGGCAAAGAATGCCCGAGGTGAAGATGGGGTTGAACAAGATCTCAAGATAGTTCTAAGTACAAGGTTCAAAGGCGGACTAAGTTCAAGATGACCTCGGCCACACCCACACACACCAAGCAAAGATCAAACTCATGCAAGCAACTTTAAGCAAATCAAGGCAAGACAAAAACCTTCAAATTATCATAACAAGCAAGACCATGCAAGGATGTATGCAAGTATGACAAGAGTAAGGTGAGGGTTGTTACAATTATTGTTATATTGCTTCCTTGCCTTTATTTAGTCGTATGCCCGTAGTCCTGCTCATTTGTTAAGCCCTTGATCCACTAATCCTTTACTACCTCTTATAATCTGTTGATCAATTTCATTTGGAAATGAAAAAGTGACTTTTCTCGTTGGCCATCTACCTGCAGGTGAATGGTGTTGCCCAGTTGCATAGTGACATTTTAAAGTCTGAGTTATTTGCAGACTATGTCTCTATATGGCCTAAGAAGTTCCAGAATAAAACCAATGGTATAACTCCTCGCAGATTGCTTTGATTTTGTAGCCCTGAACTCAGCCACATCATCACCAAACGGTTAAAAAATGATCAATGGGTGACCAACCTTGACCTACTTGTAGATCTTCAGAAAGTATGTACTAGAGATGATTTTTAGATCATATTAAAAATCATCTGTCGGTGAATTTTTCTGTATGGTTATAAATGTCACTACTGAACCTTCTTCTCCAATTGTTTGCTGACGATGCAGACTTCCAAGCTGAGTGGGAATCAGCCAAGATGGCTGACAAGCAGCGATTAGCTCAGTTCATATTTCAAGTGACAGGTGTAAGCATTGACCCAAATAGCCTCTTTGACTTACAGTTCTAGCGGATCCATGAATATAAAAGACAGCTGCTAAATATTCTGGGTGTGGTCTATAGGTACAAGAAGTTAAAAGGTACAAGAAGTTAAAGGTATCATAAACTTCTTTGTGTTCAAACTATTAATCATGTAATTTTTTTGCTTAAATAACTTTACCTTGCTAAAAAAATTTCATTACACCTACTGCGATATCCGCAGATAACTAATCCTTAAACACTGGCTGATGCCCGTAGGCCTGATACCCATAATGCTGAATTGATGCCCGCAGGCCTGATGCTAACAATACTGAACTGATGCCCGCAGGCCTAATACTCAAACTCATATACTGATCTGATGCCCGCAGGCCTGATACTGTCAATACTGAACTGATGCCGCAGGCTTGATGCCCCAACTCATATACTGATACATGCATTCCTGTAGAGACGCACTCTAAAGTACATAAAACTATGTTGGCCAACCAAGTTGGATATTCAGATACCAGCAGGAACCCTGCGTCAATTTGCTTGGTGACCTCTATTTATTTATCTATCTGTTAATGCATATGTTCACTTCAGTGCTTTTGATTCACATTATGCTAAATTGATGATGCATGCAATAACAGGTAACAGTTTTCACTTCTAATATTTGGAAAAGCTGTTTTAGAAGTTGTACAGAAAACCAAAGAATACTTTGTTGTTGGATAAGGTTCTGAAATGGCCCTACATGTTTCTTCCTCAAATGAAGCTTGCTACATAGGTGAAAATATGGCTTAACAAGTGTGGATTAAGAAGGAGAGTTGATCAATCATCCCTAGAAACTTAGAATTCGAGGTGTTAACTCCCAAAAATCACCAAACGGCGTCGGAGTTGCACAAAACTTGGCACACACGACCGTCTAGGCAAAAGAGATTTGTGAGAGAAAACGGGACTCGAATCGGGTTTCCGGTTTGGGAGTTAGAGCCAAATTTCACGCTAGGCAAACTAGTTCCTTAAAAAACTTAGAATTCGAGCTGTTGACGCCCCCAAAATCACCAAATGACGTCGGAGTAGCACGAAACTTGGCACACGACCACCTAGGCACGAGAGACTTGTGGAAGAAATCGGGACTCGAATCGGGTTCCTGGTTTGGGAGTTAGAGTCAGATTTCATGCTGGGCAAACTAGTTCCTTAAAAAACTTAGAATTTGAGGTGTTGACGTCCTAAAATCACCAAACGGCGTCAGATTAGCACGAAACCTGGCACACACGACCGCCTAGGCACGAGAGACTTGTGAGAGAAGACGGGACTCGAATCGGGTTCTCGGTTTGGGAGTTGAGCCGGATTTCACTCTAGGCGAATTAATTCTTTAAGAAACTTAGAATTCGAGGTGTTGATGCCCCAAAATCATCAAACGGTGTCGGATTAGAACGAAACTTGGCACACACGACCGCCTAGGCACGAGAGACTTGTGGGAGAAGTCGGGACTCGAATCGGGTTCCCGATTTGGGAGTTAGAGCCGGATTTCATTCTAGACAAACTAGTTTTGAGTACCAAAGTGTAAGAAGAATCAAGGGGAGATAATGGCTGATGTTGTCAACTTTTTAAGAACCAAAGGATTCACTGGACACTTTGGAAGTGGAGGGGACTCATCCACAAGTGGACATTCTTCTTGGTAAAGTATGTTAACTTTAATATAACAAATTTTATAAAAGAATATATGTTTGAAGAACTAGAAAGTAATGGAAACATGCATGGGACATCCAATTTGTATAGGTGCATGAGATGTATAAATTGTGAATTAGTCTAAAAAATATTTCTTTCTCTATATTTAAAGCTTCAAAAAAGGCCATCGAAAGGCTAAATTATTTGTATAGGAACCAACAGAAACACCTTAGGAGAGACCAATATAAGTTGTATGAACTTACGGCACATTAATGGGATGCACCATTTGTGAATTAGCCTTAAAATTAATTTTTTGTTCTCATAATCTCGAAAAAAAGTATGTTAGAGGGATAAATTATATAATTGATCTAATTGTAAATTGATGAGTTACTAATGTTTTTAATCTTTTGTATAATTAATTAATTACTAAAGCTTTTAATTTATTTTTTTGCAGATTGGATTGGGGTGGCATTTTTGACGTGCAACAATGATGTAATTTGCTTGAATGTTCATTTTGTTTGATAAAGGATAC